CGAAAGCTCAGAATAATAAACAATTTGATCCGGTGATCGACCTTCCTTCTTCAACCATTTTCTCTATCGGTAATGTATTTCTGCCTATATGTATACGAGTGTCGTGTGTGAAACTTCGTCGAGATCAATATACTTTCTCGCTTTTGTTGCAGCTGCTTAAAATGATTTTTTTTATTGGCTAACACTTTTATATCACTGCTGGCCCTACTCCACCTACTGTGATTTGTGTTCGAACCCGACTGCTAATTCTTTAAAATCAAGATTTCAATGTGGAAGTTTTCTTCCCTTTCTAGAAAGCTAGTCTCCCAGTAAGAAAACACATTCTCTTCTACATCTACTCGGGATTTTTGTTACCAGTCCTCGGCTCCGCCCTTCATCAGGTAATCTTGACCTTAACGTTTGTTCTATTACCAATTATTACATTGATCATGTAGCATCTAAGTCGTGGTCGTATTCAGAGCACTGCAATCATCAGGATAAATCTCAATTTGTAGGTGAAGGGCAGAAGGCACTATAACGGGGGTTTTATTGGGCACAGAACCCTGAGTTGCTGTCCCAGGCAGCAGCGGCCACGGGCGAAGCCAGGGTTAGTGTTGACTGCGTCCAGCTAGGTCCGAGAGTGTGTGACTGTATGTGAGAGTGGCGGTGGCAGCTGTTGAGTTGAACAGGGTTTGTAATTGTCTTATGTTTAACACTGCTTGTTTTCACACCTCCCGCATGACAAGGCCGGTATTTTGAGATCATTGGGCCGGGGAAGGCGGGAAAAAAGGGGTAGGCTGCGAGTACGCGGAGTAAAAATCACTGTCACTTGTGCGGAGTGAACAATTGCCACCAGGGCGTGGAGGCGACATGCGATCGCCACCTGCAACCAGTGTTGGCAAAGGAAGAGAGAGTGCCTGTAGTAGCGTGTTCTGACAACACAGCTCTGGATTCGCTAGCCGTATAGCCACTGCTTCGGCTGTTGCCAGCATCCGTTGGCGTAGGTTCGTAGAAAAGTCGGCTGTTTTCCAGTAGAGAACCTGAAAAGCTTCGTTGGGATCGACTCGGTGATTCTTATCGACAGAGTGTGCGAGAATAGAACTCGAGATCGATCTAGTT